CACACACACACACACACACACACACACATATATATATATATATATATATATATATATAAATTTATTTATAGGTGATTAAAGGAAGGTGGTTTTTTCACATTTCAAACATAAAAATGGTTTAAATTTACGTATTAGTTTTAAATAGTTTTGAAGGGGTAGTTTTAAATTGATGTAAGGTGATATGGTCGACAAAATTAGAGAAGGAAGAGAGAGATAAGAATAATTTGATATCTATTTTTATTAAAATACTTAAGATTAAGTGAGGTGGGTAAGTACCAGACATTGACCTATTTAATAAGTCACCTCACAGGAAACGAGACAAAAAGAAAAAATAGAAGAAAAGATATAAGAAAGCAAATGTGGAAGCAGGAGTGTGAGGAAGAAATAGGGAAAGAAGAAAAGGAAGAATAAATTAACATATATGGGCATATTGTGGTTAATTTAAAATATATATATATATATATATATATATATATATATATATATATGTGTGTGTGTGTGTGTGTGTGTGTGTGTGTGTGTGTGTGTGTGTGTATGTATAAGATAGCAGTTATTCTGTCGGTTTTCTTTGAATAACTTCCACGTCTGGATTAGATTATCTAAGATGGACACCGAACTGTTCGAGAAAAGACGAAATTGTTTGATTTTTACATGTTTTTCCTAAGAGAATACATCGCTGTTGAGTTGAGATGAGTTAAGGTAATTGGTTTGAAAGGAAAAGAAAAAATTCCAAATCTTATTCAAATTCACAAACAGAGCTGTCAGAAATCTTTTGAAAAACATCTTTCATCGTGTAAGAAGGTGCCTACCCTAGAGTTAAAGTTTTCAAATTCTAACCTAGTCTTGACTTATCCAGAATTTAAATCTACACAGGTTTCCGTAAATAACCTAAGGGCACCTCATAAAGTGAGAACCAGCAAATGAGTCTTTCAGATCAAATATAATCTGGAGACTTCGTCCTTTATTGGTTGTCCCCCTATTAGCATAAAGAGAGTTATAACTTTAGCTCATGGGTAACTTTGAGTCCGCGTACACAGAACATCTACGGCTAGTAAGTTGGATCCTCATAACACTAAGCCAAGAAAAATATGAATCATCATCAAATCTTTATTGAAGTTCTTAAAGATTATGTAAATAAAAGTCATTATTTTTTCTTTGTTTTGTTTGTATGTATGAAGATTAATTCGGTAAATTTACTAAAAAAAAAATTGTCCGGTAAAATTTTTCTCAATTAAAAAGTTAATGAAAGTGAAAATGATTTTGCCTTTTTCAGACGTCATCACAAACTCGGCTAATTTTCTGCACTTGGGTAAAAAAAAACATTTGTGACCAATTTCCTAAGATAATTCTATTAAAATATATTTATAGAAATAGGATTGCCATTTATTAATTTATTTGATCACAATGATACCCAGCGTTACACACACCAAGAACCATTTCCGTTGCGTGACACAAGCCTTTGTTATTCGCATAAGCCATAAAATTGCATCAGTCAATATTGTTGAAAGGAAACTCGATTGAGTTTAATCATTTGGCACATCATTTATTTCCACTTTACGGGCTATTATTGCATAATGGTCATTTACGCAATTATAGCAACCTAATGACCACGTGTTCGAGTCCGGTCAAGTATTATATGAACAGGTTAGAGACGCTATTGAAACGTATTAGGACAATCATTGATTCTTGTGTTGAATAAATCGTAGAAAAATCCTCTCAAGTCTTTTTTGTTATATACAAAAGGTGTTTCATTTATTTTGTATAAAAAATATTTGCTTTCTTTTTTAACAAACCCGATAAAATAAGCAAATTCATTAATAAACAAAATTGATTTCATTACTTTACGCACATAACTTTAAAAATAATATTATAGAAGAAAGAATGTAGATTTGTTACATTTATCATTCTTAAAATATTGACATTTTTATTTCCTTTTATACATTAGCCTTTTCCTTTTTTATTCACAAGCTGTGATGAAAATGCTAAGGAGGTTGACAATCAATAGATTTATTTGTTTAACTAAGCAATTTATTTATAAAAGTCATCAATCAACTACATTTTTATGCACAATGTTTGGAAAGTATTCAGCTATTATGAATATGTTTAGAATCTGTTGAATAAATCTGATGTGACTAGAGAAGAAATCAAAGAGAACAGACTGTCTTCAATAGAGAAACGTTAGAGTGTCAGTTTGAAAACAGTGAGGCCGTCGCATTCAGAAAATTTCATGCAAGGTTATTTAGGGAAAAATCACATGTTCTAGGTCTACTGGCCTATTTCCTATAGAACAGCAAATCTATTTTATTAATCGTCTCCAGTGACATTATGCTTATAAGCCACTCGAAAATACTCGTTTCTTTTACTGCTTTTATCAACATTTACGAATTATCATGAATCCCAATCTAATACACTATCAATAAAGAAGAAAAGCCCAAAATAAATACCCTTATCAGGAAATATATCATCAGATTTTCTCAAATGCTTAAAGAATGTTTTATGATTGTATGTGAGAAAATCGATGAATTTTCACAAGGGTTCGAAGTTTAAATCAACGCAACATAAATGCAAGTAAGAAAAAACGAAACCGATTTCTAAAAAAATGATGGTCCAATGCTTACATTAAGAAGAAGAATGTCTAAGAAAAATTGTAAAAATAAAAACAAGCAAATGTCATAGAAATATAGACATTTTCCTTGGCATTTCTTTTATCCGTTTCTGTTTGTCATGCTTTGCATTGATTGCACTAGAGCGACCGATAAAAAGAAATAATTAATTCACTAATTAACAAAATCCATGAATTCTTTTTACCGATTCACTTGCGTTAACAAAATGAAACAATGCTATCTCTTTTGTTATCAGTTTTGTGACAATTACCAGCCTTTTAAGTCTTTTTGTCTTCTTAGTTGCTTCTTACGCTAATCAATTATTCTTTCTTTTTAAGATAATTTTATTTTGCTAACGTTCTTGCTCTTAATGTAAGCCAATGGTGTTTATGCTTTGATTTGACGTCAAAATTATTTTAGCTTCTTAAACTCTGCTGACGCATCAGCAAATAAGACATGAATTTTTTTTTCGTAGTGTTATTCTCCTCTTTTCTTTTCATACCTTATTATCTCTCTCACTTTTGTTTTTCTCTTCAGTCTCTCTTACACTTTACTTCTCGTTTTTTCATCCTTTTTTTTAAATATGTTATATCCTTTTTATTTGTTGGTGCCGACCTGTAGTTAAGGATCATTAATGGAAGCACGTATCTTCTACTCAATGATTGTTTTCTGTGAGATACAAAGAAATAGTATCCGAGTCAATATGCAAGAAACCTATTTTACAATGTTAATGACGAAACTAATTTACATTATTCTGCACGATGGCCAATCGTAAGCACCCCCATCATGTTGTCTATTATTTAGGACCAAAGCCAGAATTGGCATGAATTTCAGTTGGTAGCTCAGACACAAATACGATTCTGTCAACATAGTAATCCGAACAAATGACGGTTCCGTAAATAGACTTTACATTTATCGTATATACTCTAGTATAATGCGAGGATTTATGATCAGATGATTACAAAAACAATAGGGGGTCCCACTCTATACACAGGTAATTTTTTGAAGAGACTAAAAATCATGCATTTTCGGTAACAGGTTGCACTCGATAAAGGTAAAAAAATTCTGTTGGGGTTAAAATCTATGCAAAAAATCAGGGGTTGCACTATATATGAATTCAGCTTATATAAGTGTATATACAATATTCATCTTCTTCTAACCACTTAGACTGAAATTAGAAATCTTGTTAAATTATAAAACAAAAAATGCAGCCCTGACTGAATTATATTGCAGAAACGCTACTGATTAGTGTTCGGTCCGATGTTAAAAGCCAGAACTGGTAAATGCTGATTTACAAATATATAAAATATAAGGACAACAAAATCTTGCCACCATTTAGCCACGTGCTATTTCAAATAATTCTTTAAATATCGAACAGTCCCAAGACGCCTCAGCCATATATATATTGTTACGGACAAGATAAGAACAAAAAGGCAACTTGTTGTCAAAGCATATGACCAGGTTTACCAATCCGTAGTGGAAAGCATTTCTCTTCCAGGTTCAAATATACGAATGAAGAGAAACAGCCCAAAGTAACGAACAACAAACGCCAAAATTTAAAATCAACAAGATTTAATTATAACGAGGCGATACATGAAATCTTTAATGCAAGGGAAAGCGCGCAAAGGTGTCTTCCATATATTTCTGTATGAAAAGACGTATGCGTTATATGACTGAGCTGGAAAGTCAAAAGTCACTTAGCTTTAGTTATTCTCCTGAAATAGAATGGGAGCTTCTCTTTCCCCCCTTTCTCTCTCTTTCTTCATGTTGTTTTATATTACTCTTTGTTCTTTTTACTTTTGGTTCAGTTTTTTTTCCTAGAGCAGGGATATCTTTTGTTCTTTTTTCAATGCTATGAGTTTTGTTCGTTCACTCTTTTCTTCACATCAATGTCATTCGAGTTTGAAGATTCGGCACTTTATGAGTTTTAGCCTGCGTTTAATTGAATGGGTCATACATGCCTTTCCTAGGTGATTATCGCACTTTGTAATTTACCAGTGCATTTGGTATATGCAGCATGGTATGGGGAGTTGAATAGAATCTTGTCTTCATTGTGCGATTTCATTTGTTTGACGGTAATAAGTAAAAAGAGCTGTAACTCACACAAGACTCGGATTCCACTTGATCTTGCAATTGGAAGTTTTTGCGAGATGGGGATCGCATTCCTTCTCTTCTGCTCGGTGAATCCATTTGCATGACGGTTTCATGACTCGTCCTACTCCATCGAGATTCGTTGCTTCAACTAATTCCTTCTAATATAATCCTAATGAATGTCGGTACTTGATCACGTGATTTTGCACGGGTGCGAGAATTTGTTTTAAGCTTTCGTCTAGACATGTTAGTGGGGTCACCAGCCTGTCTGACATAATAGTTCTTGTAGTTAGTGACTACTATTAC